ATTACAGATGAAATGTATGCAGAATTTACATTGTTTCGCGGACGAACAAATTCTGTAATGTTTAATTTCTAATATAGTAGCTTGCAGTAGTACACAATGCCTCTCATATATAATTGCAGTGGATATTAAACTTTATGTATCTAACAGAATACGGTGGCCAAATCCCGCGCCAGGAAGCTGATCCGCTAGGGGTTGGTGCAGCCGAAATGCATCGTAATGGACGACGAGATGTACATTAAAGTGGACCCCAAGCAGATCCCCTGCCTGGAGTTTTTCGACGGCAAGTCCCGCCTGGATGCTCCGGAGAAGTTCCGGAAGAAGACAAATTTGCCAAGAAGTATCTAGTGTGGCAGGTACCATCAACGGCCAAATATATAAAGAAGGAACGCCTGCTGTCCTTCCTAAGAGATGAACTAGCCTAAGGCTAAAAATCTCTAAAATAAAGATTTAAAAAAAATGCTGTCCTTCCTCCGGTTCCGGGAAGGTGACACTCTGTTTTGGCCGGATGTGGCATCGTGCTATTCGCGAAACCGGTGATGGAGTGGTACGAAGCCAACAATGTTGTTTTGTGCCGGATGACGCAAATACGCCAAACTCGCCAGAACTTCGCCCAATGAAAAAATTCTGAGCGATTATGAAGGGCAAGCTACGGAAAACAGGGAAGGCCTTCAAAAACGACAAGGATTTGAAGAAAGAGTGGATGAAAGTGTGTAAGAAAGATGGCGCAAGTGTTGCACAGGATTTGATGGGTAACGTTAAGTCCAAGCTGCGGGCATTTAGTCTAGGAGAAGAGGTTGAAGAAACATCAAAAGCGAGTGGTTGCTGCATTCAAACGCAAACCCAACCAGGGTTGAAAAAAAAAGTAGAAGGGTTTGTGCCTAGGGGCACGAGCGGAAGCTCGACGTAGGACCGCTAGTGAACGGAACAAATGTGTAGAGCATTTAGTTCTTTTAATTGATCAACCATCAATTATCTTATCTCTTTCCGTTTTTGACAGCGTATCAAATATGCAGTATTTTTTTTCAAAGAGAAAGTTGATGAGAGAATCAATCAAAATCACTTGCACCCCTGCTTCCAAGTTTGGTTACAAGGTAACTCTGAAGAGCATTTTGTGTGGTTGTTGGGGGCCTTTGGTTCTGAACATGGACAACCAGGCACAGATAAATTCTATTCCAACTCTTTACTGTTATAAGCTTGATGGCACTGAAAAGGGCCGTTTTGTTGCCAAAGTTCTCCGAAACCGTACAGAGTGCGTCTCTGTCGCTTCGAAGTGTAGATGACATCCATGGCCACTTACACTTAGCGTGGTTAGTGTAGGTGACAGCATCACGGACCTCATTTCCAGCAACACCTTCAGCACACCTCAAGGGCATAGCCAGGTTTCGAACTAGGGCGGGGCGAAAAAAAATCACTATGGAAAATTTGGCCGAATACATTTCACCGAAAGCCTTTGAGTTGCTGAGTTTAGGGGGGCAGTTACCCCCCTGCCCCCCTATGGCTAAGCCTATGGCACACCTCGTAGACCGGAGATACGTTTGACACCGCCACGGCGAGCCAGACGACGGATGGTGGTTATCTCGAAGAACTTTGCGAAGCATTTACCTTTAAGCGGAAAATGACGTGATTGTACCTGTCTCATATTTAGCATTCGTATGAGAAAATGGAAGAGTTGTCAGTCTTCTTGATTTGTTGTTTTCGGGACAAGGCAGCAATGTTATTTGAATGTATATATAGAATAACAATAAAAATTCAATGAAGTAATGAAATTGGGTTGTTAGCGCAATGCTTATATAAAACAGTAAAAAAAAGGCTATCTTCCATTTATTTCCACTTAATTAATTTTGGATTAAATAGAATAAATATTAATGTTAGTGTTAAACATCTCTGCAGTTACTTGAGCCATTTCCATCTGAACTCCTCAATTGAACTGTGAAATGAAAGACCGAAGATTTGGTCGATGTCCAACTTTTTGTGTTCGCTTTAAAGTCACTTCGACGTCTTCAATTAGATCAGGGGTGAGTTGAATTCAACCCACACGGCAAGAAAAAAATACTCAAAATTAAGTTAAAAAAAAACTCAACGTTGGGTTCTATCATTTGAGGTCCACCGTTGAGTGAATCAGAAAAGCGGCGTTGGTTAAAATTTACTCAATTATTGAGTAATAATAAATGAACCCAAATATAAATTTATTTTCATTGAGGTTGCTCTTATGCGCCTTTAATCCATTTCATTTTCACAAGCGTTGATAGAAGAGTGGTCAACACACGGGCCCCGTAATTTCAACGTCCATGGTTCGGTTCCAGTCTGCTCCGTTTTGTTATTTTTTTGTCAACTTGGTCAACGTGGATTCATAATCAGGATTACTCAAAATTGAGTTTTTTTCTTTAACTTAATTTTACCTAGCCCCACGGAAGCCACGTGATGAGTGAAAGGAATTCAATTTTGGGTACTTTTTTCTTACCGTGCACTTGCCTCGTCGTCATAAAAAAATAAACTGTCAGGATATATCAATCTACACGGAAAAAAATGTACCTAATTTTAAGTTCTTTTCATCCAGGTTGGCAGTTCCGTGCGCCAACTCAATTTAGAGTTCTAGCGCCTACTTAATTTTGAGTTGTTGTCATTAGCTCGCATGTTAACAGGATTACTTACTTTTAAGTTGTTTTCACTCAACGTCAAGTTAAAACTACTCAAAATTGAGTTTTAGACAACTTACTCAATTTTAACTTTAGAACTCAATTTTGTGATTTTTTTTTGACAACAACAAGAGAGTAAGTGAGCGGCATCAACTCAAAAGTAAGTTGAAAGAACTTAACCGTTGGGTAGTTTTGGTTCTCCGTGTATGTGTGAATCTTGATGTGAAATAATATTAGTCCTCTCCAGGCGGGTTCGTATTGGTGCGATTTGCGTGTGTTAGTGAGATGAAATTTTTTGTTAGCTGTGAGAAATTTTTTGTTTGCTGTAAAGTCATTCTAAAGTAAAAATAAACAACAAAACGAAAACAAACCCTACGCTTACACGGTAACAGTCAAGCTCCCTTTTGTGAGTAAAGGTTAACCCATTTTGACGTTGGATAACGTCTTTCGGCAACATACGGGGGTACAAAATTGAAAACAGTCATTTTGGATGAGTTACGAAAAATTAAAAGATTTTGAACGATAATAACTCAACCGCCTCTCGATAGATTTACGAGATAATGGCATCAATCGATTGGAAATATTTCTAGCAATTTGCTGAATGTTTCAAAACTAATGATTTCATTCTGTAAACTATTGAAAAATGGTTAAAAGTAAACCATTGTCTAAAGATGGTGAAAATCAATTGATTTTTTTATATTCTTATACTTTTTCCAACCGAGACATCAGATGCGAGTATCTGACACCTCTGATATTTTCTGTTCTACTATATAAGCGTCCAACAAGGTCGCCCGTTCCATCATTGTCTATCCGATCGTCGACCCAGCAGCAGAGCAGCAGAGCAGCAGAGCAGCAGTACCAGAGCAGCGGAAGCAGAGCAGCGGCAGCAGAGCAGCGGCAGCAGAGCAGCGGCAGCAGAGCAGCGGCAGCAGAGCAGCGGCAGCAGAGCAGCGGCAGCAGAGCAGCGGCAGCAGAGCAGCGGCAGCAGAGCCTGGGGGCGAAAGGGCAACTACGCCGAGTGCGTTGGTGCCAGTGCTTCGGTATACTGGGCCGCCGTCATGGAATGCCCAGCTGCTGCAGTTCTCAGTCGGTCGTATTCACCGTCTTCTCCGCAAGGGCAACTACGCCGAGCGCGTTGGAAAAATGGCCCTTTTCAGGGCCACAACATTATTAAGAAAGAGTTTAACGATTAATTTTCTAATTGCGAAGCCATATTTTATCTCGAAAAATAGTTTTAAAATTCTTAACAACGAGAATCTTGAAAACATAATAAAATTTACTTAGAAAGTACCATGTGTTATTTTCTAGTGGTTTGGGCAAAGACCTTTTCACTTTGATGCTACATGAAAATAAAGTGAAATTCATTTCCAAATCATATACGGGACCCGGCTGTGTTTGTTTTCAAAATCTCGAAAACAAACCCCCGCACACGTTCTACTTCGTTACTTCTAGACTAACATTTGAAAGGGACGGAAGAGCCAAAATGTAAACAAACCATATTTTGGCACATATAGAGAGAACAGTTCACAAACTACTCGATAAACACGAAAAAGTAGAAGAAAATATCACTTCATATCATCAAAAACGTTTCTTCTTACATGGCGTATTTCCAACTTTCAACTCGATGATGCAACAGGTTGTTACGCCTTGCACCAGAACAACGAATTCTATTGTTTTAATATGCCAAACGTATTGATTCTGTAGTATCTAGTCACGCCCGATTCATTTGAAACGCATCCGATTGATATTTCACGTGTAAACAACGAACAAAAAGAAGACCAAAAAAATCTCCGGGCGTAATTCCACTCTCACAAAATTTACGAACGAAGAACCAAGGCGGAACAACAAACAAAAAATCCCGATGGTGTACTTCCACGGCGTATCACCAGTGTTGGCAGTTCAAAGTGTGGAAGATCTGGGGGGTAACAACATGTATGAAATTATCAGAGCGTATGATGTTTTCTTCTCAATTTCACGACAAAGAAAACTTTTTTTGAGTTTTTAGTTATGCATGATGATAGATTACACTATTAACTATATGTCAAGCTTATAAAATCATCCAGAAAATGGAAAGTCGTGAAATAGGATTAATTTTTAGGTCATCAAAATTCGGAAGCGATTTTCTCGATATGGTTTTTTGGAGTTCCGCCCTTTTCAAATGTTAGTCTAGATTTAATCTAGACTAGAACGGAACGAAAGGTCACTTCAACTCTTTTGAATTATTGTGGTGGCCCTGAAAAGGGCCGGTTTTGTTAAGATACGACGAGCCAGCTGGATGTCCTTCGGCATGGTAGTGACGCGCTTGGCGTCGATGGCACACAGATTGGTATCCTCGAACAGACCGACCAGATAGGCTTCGCTACCTTACTGCAGAGCCATAACAGCTGAGCTCTGGAAGCGCAGATCGGTCTTGAAGTCCTGGGCAATTTCACGGACCAGACGTTGGAAAGGCAACTTTCGGATCGGCAGTTCGGTGGATTTCTGATAGCGACGGATCTCACGCAAGGCGACTGTGCCTGGCCGGTAGCGATGGGGCTTCTTTACTCCTCCGGTGGCTGGAGCGCTCTTGCGAGCGGCCTTCGTTACCAACTGCTTGCGAGGAGCCTTTCCTCCAGTGGACTTGCGAGCGGTCTGCTGAGCTGGTTGTGATGTGTATGCAATGAAAGCACACTGTGGAATAAAAATAAAAATCACTTCCATTCTGTTTTATAACATGCGTTTGCTGTGTTCAACCAATCAGAAACGATGAAAGAACAAGAACACAACAACTAACCAAAAGAATTTAACCCTCGAGTAGGTATAAAACAGCCAAAATTTGGAATTTTTGTTCACAAGCCGGTTGCCGTCAACGACCTGAGTTCGGACCACCAACCGGTGCTGACCGAGCTGGGCTACAACGTGGCCCCTGCACCGTGCCAGCGGAAGGACTACCATCGAGTCAACTGGGTCCAGTTTCGACGCGTGGTCGACCGCCACATCGACGACAACCCACCGCTCGACACAGTGGAGGACATCGACCGGGCCCTGGAGGGTCTCCATCAAGCCATATCCGTGGCTGACGAAGAGTGCGTTCGACGAGTTCCTGTGAGGGGTAAGTTTCAAGCAATTGATTCCCACACCAAACTCTTGATTCGGCTCAGAAATGTTCGTAGACGCCAGTTTCAGCGGACTGGGGATCTGCAGCGTAAATACGAAATGGTCGATCTGAATCGGCAGATCGCTTCCAGAATGGTCTCAATCCGGAACGAGAGTTTCGGGCGGCTCGTTCAGAACCTGGACGACCGTTCCAGACCATTCTGGAAGGTTGCCAAGGTGCTGAAGTCTCACCCCAAGCCCATTCCACCACTTAGAGTCAATGACGAACGGCTTATCACCAACGAAGAGAAGGCCAATGCAATTGGGGAGCACATTGCCCAGTCGCATTTGCTTGGCTCTACAATCCCAAGTCCACTCGAGAACCAGGTTGTGCAGTGCGTCCAGACGTTAGATGCCTCCCCTTGTGCCGTCCCTCCAGAAGAACGGATTACAGAGGAACAAATTTGCTCAGCGCTGAAACACAGTACGAACATGAAGGCTCCCGGGTTTGACGGAATATTCAACCTAGAGTTGAAAAATCTCAGCGCGAGGGTGCACTCGCTGCTGGCTGCCATCCTCAACAGATGCTTGGAGCTGCACTACTTTCCAAGCATCTGGAAGGTGGCAAAAATCATCCCGATCCGCAAACCTGGGAAAGACCCTTCACTACCGTCAAGCTACAGACCGATTAGCCTGCTCTCAGCGCTGAGCAAGCTGTTCGAAAAATTGATCCTCAGCCGACTGAACAAGTTTGTGGAGGAACATGACATTCTTCTTCCGGAACAGTTCGGGTTCCGTAAGGGGCATTCCACAAATCATCAGCTAGTACGGGTGATGAATAACATCCGGAGTAACAAAGCTGTATCCAAGTCCACAGCCATGGCCTTGTTAGACGTCGAAAAGGCGTTTGACAATGTCTGGCACGACGGACTTATATACAAGCTTTGTAACTCCAACTTTCCACCATACCTTGTGAAAATCACCCGTAACTATCTCCAGCAAAGGTCGTTCAGGGTGTCGTTGAATAGTTCCCTTTCGGGACAATTTCCGATCCCAGCAGGTGTTCCACAAGGGAGTCTGCTGGGACCACTGCTTTACAGCATCTACACGTCGGACATCCCTCCTCTAGGAGACGGTTGCGTGTTCTTTCTGTTTGCAGATGACACCGCGATAGCCGTCAAGGGTAGGATGCCTCGTGAAATTACGAACAAGCTCCAACGATGCCTTGACACCTTTACTGATTATGCCACCACGTGGAAAACCAAAATCAACGCCTCGAAAACCCAAGCGATCATGTTCCTTCACAGACAATCATTAAAACTTAAACCGTCTCCCTCCTGTACCGTAATAATGGATGGTACAAGGGTCGAGTGGTCCACTGATGTTACTTATCTCGGGATGTTGTTCGATGAGAAGCTCCTGTTCCGCTCGCACATAGAGAAAACCCTAGTTAAGTGCTCCGCCTTGGTTAGGTGTTTGTATCCGCTCATTTGCCGCAGATCCCGCCTCTCAAGGCAAAACAAACTGGCTGTTTACAAACAGATCATAGCCCCCGCGATCTTCTATGCCGCCCCGGTGTGGGAATCGTGCGCTCAGACCCACAGGAACAAAATCCAGGTTGCACAGAATAGAGTGTTGAGGATGATCCTAGATCGTCCATTCGACACAAGAATAGCAGACCTCCATCAAGAGGCAGAAATTCCCAAAGTAGATTCCAAAATTGATGATATGACAACTAAATTTATTCAAAAATGCAATCTTTCTGAACATGCTTTAATAAGCAATTTGTACATAGTAGGTTAAGTGTATATAGTAGAGTAGGTTAGTTTTAAGCTGTAAATAGTAGTATTAAGTAGTTTCTCTTCAAATTCTAAAAACAAAACAAACCAATCCCACCAAGGTGGTCGACCGTGTACTAAGTCTAGGACTAATTCTGTAAAACAAATTTTGAATTTTGCCCATACCTAAAGATGAAGAAAGCAATTAAATCACTTAGTAAAAATTTATATGGTAAATCGTCCAAGTTAAACTAAAATAAAGATCATTTAAACTAACTAAAAATTTTTGTTCACTTTTGTTCCAAACTTCATCGACGTTACAATTGTCATATTAGAAAATGACTGGACGCGGCAAGGGTGGAAAAGGACTTGGCAAAGGAGGAGCCAAGCGTCACCGAAAAGTGTTGCGTGACAACATTCAGGGCATCACTAAACCTGCAATCCGTCGTTTGGCTCGTCGTGGTGGAGTTAAGAGAATTTCCGGTCTCATTTATGAAGAAACCAGAGGAGTGCTGAAGGTATTTCTGGAAAACGTTATTCGTGACGCCGTTACTTACACCGAACATGCGAAGAGGAAGACTGTCACCCCCATGGATGTCGTTTACGCTCTGAAGCGGCAGGGACGTATTCTGTACGGATTCGGGGGTTAATTTAGTATCATCGACTCAGAACCAAAAAATCGGCTTTTTTCAGGGCCACCATATAAATTTAAAAGGTGTTTTAGAATTGACTTTCTTGCCAGAATGTGATAGGTTGAAGTGATGTGATGGAGCGTTCATTCACAACCAATCTGCGGGTGTTAAGCTTAAATCAACGTAGGCCCTGCTGGTTACCGCTACTAATCCAGTACCGACAATATTCTGCATACATTTTGGTGTGGTAGTTCCAGATACGTCGTGCACTTCCGGAATCGAGAGAAGAAATTAATGAAAACGCCTGAGTTGTCCGAACGCGCTTTGGGGAAAGATATCGAGCTTATTCGAGCGTTTTATTTCGATAAGCAGCAGGTGTGCTGAAGGAATTACAGGGAAACGTCATTCGATGAACTGTTACATTCAAGTAATTTTTCCCCGGGATATGACCACAATTTTTAATAGGGCATCACGGCCACCCAAATTTGAGTTAAGTTAGCTTGTTGTAAGTGCAGGAACTCAGCAATGAGAAAATGTCTCATGTTTGTCCAGGATAAACTTACTGAGAAAAGTAAATATTGGACACACATTCATTGGTACTACTCCTACTTAGAGTAAAATAATTTCATTTTCCGGCTGATTTTTGAGATTTTCCACAGGAAACCATGAGCCAATATTACTCATCGCTGGGTTCCTTAACTATTGGCTACTAAAATTTAGGTCGTGCTTATCGCAGGGTTGTCATTGTCAAAACTCAAAATAGTAAACCTATAACACTCTTGTAACTTACAACTTGTACTGTTTATTTTTGATAGAATAAAAGGAAACAACGATTCAGTCCAATGGAAATGGAAAGCTTCATAAAATTTCCAACATAGAAATACAAATTGATTGTGGTACCTAAAAAAGAGTTATTAAGGAATATTCCTAAAATATAATATACACAATTAAGTACAACACATAACAGACGTTTTTTTTTCTTTGTGGTTGTCTTTACAGACGGCTAAGACCATAGTTTGGTCCATCTCGCCTATAACAGACGTTATCCAACGCCAACCCTGCGGTCGTATCTAGTATACAACCCTTCCAACTTTTTGATAAAGGTGGCTTTACTCATTAATTAGTAAATTGTTTTAACAACAATGAGTTTCTGCTAACAGTAGCTAACAGTTACAATTAATTGGCATAATGAATTACTCATTAATTAGTGGTGCCGCTTTTATTGACAATGGGTTCACTTTTACTCATAAATGGCTGTTTGATTCTTACCGTGCACATGACAGTATACGCTACACGCTAACTTGAAAGTACTCATTAATGAGTAAAAAAAAGACCCATTTTGAAGAAAAGTGGCTTAACTCATTAATGATTAAATAATTTTACCCATTAATGAGTATCTGTTACCCATTAATGATTAACAATTACTCATTAATGGATAACAGATACTCATTAATGGGTAAAAAATTTACTCATTTAATGAGTTAAGCCACTTTTCTTCAAAATGGTTCTTTCTCAACCATTAATGGGTACTTTCAAGTTAGCGTGTAGTGTGTGTAAAATTATGTAATAAGTGTAGTGTTCGTGAAATCCTGCCTGGAGAACTCAATATGTGTTTCAATTTACCGAGGGGCCATTGGCTGCTGTTTACTATAGACACAGTGTCTATAGACAACGTTTGTCTTATGCAGCCAAACGAACTGTCAAAAAGTGTAACCAAATGGACTGTCATCCTTTGGTTTGCTTCAAAGGAGCAAGTATTGTGATCTAGTGTTGTTTTGACAAAAAGCAAAATATAAACTTTTCATACAAATAAACATACTTTTTGTCCTAAAATACTCTTTGATATCTATGGCAGTGGCAATTACATCAACAAGATTTTTTTCGGATCCACTACAACAGTGGACGTGAACTGCAGATGTGATCCCTCACTAACACTGGGGCCACCCTGATTCCGTTATGGATTTTTCGCTGTTATGGTTTTCAAATAATATTCGTCGTTACTAGAGTCGGTGTATAATGAGTCACGCCAAGAGAAAAAACTGTTGAACTCGCATCACGGTTTTCGAAACATTCCCATTCTTTTCACTTGGCAACAGAGGACTTCTACAACAACTTCAAATTACTTCTAGCGAGAGAAAAAATATTGCGGCTGTAGTAAATCATTATATCAGTGATTTTGTCAAAT